TCCCATTTCAAAATAAAAGCCCCAGAGAGTGAATTCTAACTGGAATGCTTGTGATGAAGCCTGTCATTTAATAACCTCTTTTGTTGTGTGTCAAACATTATGAATATGTCTCCTCTCCCCCTCTCTCACCCACCCAGTCCCAGCCTTCCAAAATAAAAGCCCCATAGAGTAACTGTATCTTAACATGAAGCTCAGAATGAGGTTTGTACAGAAATGATGGGAGCGTCATCATTTCCAAAAGCATTTCCAAAGGCTTCTCAAACAAAGATGTATATGTCCAGTACAGAAATGACGGGAGCCATTTGTGGACTGTCCATCAGGATTACAAGATTGAATCCAAGAGTATAATCTAAAATGCAGAAAAGAGAAAAGCGATATATCAATCGAACCTCAACGATACTACCGGTAACATCGGCGTGTGTAGCCATATATTACGATGTCTTCGGGCAGTAGAAGCCACACTGTCAAAATTTCTTGTGAAATTTTCTTGTTATATTATTCATATCTGCGTGTCTCCTACTGTGACGTGTCAGAATGTGTACTGGGAGACGTGATGGTGATTGTGAGGATCTCCTTCGGCCTCAGGAAGTCTGAGGTGCAGTGAAGCAGAGCGACCAGCAGGAAGCCCTCAGCCTCTACTCGTCTGTCTGTGATGCTATCAGATGCAATCAAACATGATATCACGTCATATCATTTACTGCGAGGTATACTGTCCATAATCTATTCTTATGTAAATAGAAATAAGTACCAAAGTCACTTTTCCTTTTTTTTTCTTCTTTTAAATAAACTACGTTTTCCACAAATAAATTGACATGTTACAGTGACAAAGTGAAATCGGAAATCAGAAAACATACAGAACTCATCAAAGTATAACTTAATTTATGAATTGGGTATTAAAGAGGCATTCCAGAGATTTAGCACTGCTCTTTCAGGAGACACAAGAAATATATTTTAAAACGGGAAGGTCAAAATCGAAGCAGCAGAAGAAGAAACTATGAGTCAAGCTCCAAGAAACGCTGGATCCTACATTTCCCAAAATGCAACTCTTTCGATAGACCCTCTCGACCTAGTAAATGCCCGCACCTTTCAAACACCATGCCCCGAGTTTGTAACGCCAGCAGCCTGTTCAAAATGTCAAGTCTGATCTGAGACAACTTCAAGTGTGAAATTGGTGGACTGGCCCTTTCAATTTTACCGAAATAAAAAAATGGGGAGAAAAACGCATTGTGTATCTTTTCATAGTTTAAATAATGTATTTACTCATTTCATTTAATTATCTAATACAACATGTTTGTTTTTTACACAATATTTACAACGTATATTACAGCTATTTGTGGAAAAGTGAGTGTGCCTTGTTTAGTAGTGACCCCGTGTTTTATGTTTAAATTCTTTAAAAATAATTCAGTTAAAAAAGCTTTTCTGTGTTTGTTTATTGCAAAATATAAATATACAATGATCTAGTCATGAGTATTTCCTGTAGTACTATACAGTGCAGTATTACCTAGAATGGTCATCCAGATGTGCGTCAGTAGTATCATGATTTAATTGTATTTATCAGGTCAGTGATGCCTTAAAGAGCACACACACACACACACACACACACATCGATCCAGAAGTAGGCCACCCCGCCCAACCTCAAATCCTCCAGGCTAGCGACTGACATGGTGCGGTTCCCATGGCAACCCCGGGCTCATCTCCAAGACAGCGGTGTTACCCAGCAGCCCCTGCGGCTGCAGGAGCCCCAGTAACCACAGAGGAGTCTACTTCTACAGAAGAGCTGCTCGCTGATACCGTTTCAGAGGGTCAAATGTCAAACTCTGGATGATAAACGAGTCGGGACAGGACTTTAAAGACTCAGGAGGCTACTGTAGCAATGTATGTAGCATGCCTCGTTTGTCTACGTGTGAACTCGGGGAAACAGCTAGTCTGGCTCTGTCTAAAAGGTTTTTAGAAACAATTCCACCTACCATTAATGTCTCAGCCATGTTTTAGTCTCGCTGCATTTTGCAGAAAAAAAACAACCCATCATGAATCATCCCCATGGTTGAAAAAAAAAAAGAAAACGAGATTCTGGCCAATATATGAAATAAAACAGCATTTTGACACGTGATTCAGAGATGGAGACAGAGAGTCACAATGTGTGTGTTACCTGCATGACCTTGGCGTGGATCTCGTCCAGCTGGGTGCGTTTGTTTCGCTGCCTGCAGAGCTCCTGGTATCTGGTGTACTGCTCCCTGAGCGAGTCCAGCAGCTTCATCACCTGAGGCTGAGCCAGCAGCTCCTCCTCCATGGGACACCAGGCTGGACCTGGAGGTCAGAGGTCAGAGACAGGGTCAGGCGTGAAGAACTGCGCGGGGGGGGGGATCTCTGGTCTGATCGTACAAAGTGGTTCCTTTTCAGGACATTAAAAGTTTGTTTCCTTTAAACCCCTTGTCTGAGAAGGGGTACCTTTTTTGGAGTGATTTAGACATCCGTCACTCGTACGTCTCATGAAAATGGTCAAATATGTGTGGACACTCACAGGCTGCATGCTTATGTGTTTTGTTGAACATGTCATTCTAAACCCACGGGCCTTAATCTGTTGCTATAGCAGCCTCCACTTGCAGGCTTTCCACCAGATTTTAGGTAACCAGGCTCGCAGGGATTTGCAACCATCGGGCCTCAAGAGCATTAGTGAGGTCCAACACTGATGTTGATGGTGATAAAGTACCAAGGACTGTAGCAGTCTACGCAGCACCTTCGTCCACTGCGTCGTACTGTAGTAGAAACTCTGGAACAACTGAATGATCTCTTTCAGCTGTTCATCTCTGAGAAAGAAAATTGCACAAAACGATACAAAAGACATCCACTCATCCATTCATTCCTCCATCTGTCCGTCTGAGCTCGACTAACACAGTGACACCTGGATGACTGACAGCCGCTTCCTCACCTCCCTGTCCTCCTCCCTCTGAGCCGTTGAAACGCCGCTGCTGCAGCTCCGACAGCAGCTCATGACCTGCAGACAGACAGACAGACAGAGAGGGGTGGGGGGGTTGAGATTTAAAAGCCCGTTATACAAAAAGCATCTGAAACAATAACGTGTCAGTGTTTGTGTACATGCTGCAGAAGGAGGAGGGTGGCACCACAAACAAAGGCCTCCTTTCACCTCCCACAGACACAGGCCGCTCAGTCCAGTGAATGCAGCCATCCATCGCTCATCCATCGCTCATCCATCCTCGGCGTCTATTTAGCTCCAGGTCTTGGTGGCAGCCGACCGACTATCCAAGACCTCTTACTCTCCACCCACATCATCATCATGTATTTTACAAAAATTGGCAAACAATGGAATCTATATATACAACTTGTTTCCAAGTGTTACCAATGTTGGAAATAAAACAGAGGCTCCACATAACATATATATTAAGCTATTCACAGTTTTACAACCTCTACTTACAACCTTTCCTGTCCTCTCCTCAATGCACTGTGCTCAGCAGCCTGCAGTTTAGTGGAAGTTTCGCAGAATTTTTGTCAAGTGACTCTTGGTCTCAGCAGAGTTGATCATGGCTTTGTAGTTGCGCAGAATTTATTGTTTTTTAGAGGATCTGGTTAGAGCAAAAGGTTTATTCGGGGCGAGATTTTAAATGAGACGCATAGAATAAAAAATATTTTGGTGAAACATCACAATTTTAAGCTTAGTTTCGTTTGCTTTTAGTGACAGAAGCGTTTGTCACACAGGATGTGTTAAAGGACTGTCAGAAAGATGAAAATCTGATGATGATGGCGTTTCTTACAGTTTCTGGCTATGATAAACAGTGCAATGTTGGCGATTTTTTAAAATAAAACATGCTTTTTCTTTCTGCCGGCATATTAACTACCATCCTAAACCAATTAGCAAGGAGTGCAAATGGGTTATAAAGCCTCCAGCAGCATTACATCGATGCTGTCTAAAAACATGGGCAGCTGGTGGTGTTGGAACGCACTCGATACAAATAATTCAGAGCGACTATCCGTACAAACTCGTAAACTGCTCAAAACTAAGTTAGACATCTAATGTTATCACCAAGATCCTGACAACTTAAATGTTACTCTGTATTTAGAATCAAATATAGCCTGGTCTTGTCTAGGAAACGCTAGATAAGAGTTGTCTGTAATATAACATATTTTGACCCCTATCAGCAGCTATAACCCCATCATTTAACTATTCTACTATTCTTATTTATCTATACTATTCTTGCATTTCTACATACTTAATCATAAATGCCATTTTCAGTATTATTATTTGCAGTTCTATATTTTAGTGCACATAATTTACAGATTTCTCATTTAGATTTTTCCATATGTTTTGTTGTTATACTGTGGATTGATGCACATATTTTACACACTTTACACATATTTTCTTATAATTTATCAGTTAAATATTTATATTCTAGAATGTGAGCAACTGTAACGCAACCCTAATTTCCGTCCGAGGATCAACAAAAATTCCGATATGTATTTATAGTTTCCTTGCCGGAGAGAGGGAAGTTCTTCCTGAAGCTTGCCGCTGTATTTATAACACACACCTTAAAGAAGGCCGCTTCATTCAGCTGTGAGCGTGACTACAAACAGAGCTCACTCTGTCATGGAGTGGGAGGTTTGGATGCTCGGATGCACGATTCTTTCAGTCACTACCCAGAATTCCCGACAACAAGTGAGAAGAGCTGTGTTGACAGTAAGACAATAAGACAATAACTCTTGTCTTATTGACAATTGTTGTTTAAGTCTGGCTTAAAACAACAGTCAGATGTCTATTTGAACATCGAAAGAGATTTCCTCCTGTTCATACTGGGCTGTAAAAATAGTCCCCTCCTAAAGTGTTTTCAATGTGAGTGACGGGGGACAAAATCCACTGTCCTCATTTTTATGCGAGAACACCCTCTTTGTGTGTCCCAGTAGCGCTGCAGTGGAGGCACAGTCTCTTAAAATCGGTCTCAGACATGAGGGCAACATGTCTGAAAGGGGTTAAAAAGAGAGGCGATGATATTTACCGGTCTGAAGGACAGTCTCGGGGTCGACAGACGGCAAGAGGGCGCAGTCAGCTGATCTGAGGACAGAAAGACACGCAGCTCTGACTGTCATCTGTCTACTGTTGGTGCACTTTAAACTGTAGCTCTGTGTGAGTGTGTGCGCGTACTTCTCCCTGTCCACCGCGCTGCCCTTGTCGCTGTCGTTGATAATCAACAGCTCATCCAGCAGCGACGTCGACTCTTTGGTGAACTTCTCAAAAACCTGCGACAAATGAAACAAACGTCAACAAACGGGCCAAGACCTGGTGCCAGGTTACCATAGCAACAAGCTTCCTTTTTATTTTAGTTTAGTAAAAATATCAAACACATGGATTTATTCAAAATAAAAATACTGACCAGTCTCTTGTTGAGCCAGTCGTTGTGGTCGTAGTCCAGACTTCCCCCAAAATCGTCCGTCAGCTGACAGGGTTCAATGTAACGAGTCAACTTATTGGCCGACACCAGGATCACCTGACAGGAAGCACAGACGCCAGCACTGAGTAAACTGTTTATCTTTAAGGCCCAATCAATGTTCCCCCTAAAGCCTCAGACCCTCAGGGACTTACTGACGTCACCTGGTAAGTGGTTGAGTGTGAGAGACTGTGAGGGCTTGAAATGGTGTAAATATGAACGGGACAGCACTTCAGTGCAACTTATCACTTTACCATGACAACAACAAATAAGATGTATAATGTGGGTATTTATTTTATACTTTGTACTCCCTGATTTGAACGTCTTCCAGACTCTTCCTCACAAGATGAGAGGTAACTTCAAATAATCTATTCACTCAATTTTGTCAAAATAGCTTCAATGACAAAATCAAATATTTGATGAATAAATAAATAAATATCTGATTTCATGTTATTTTTGTTCCATCTTTAACCCTTAATGTTTCTGAGTACATTTAATATAACAGGCTGAACACCCGTGACCCGTCCTCTTTGTTTCCGTCTCCATGCGTCCACTGGTTACCCCGTGTTAAGAGTCACATTTGTGGGTAATTCCCTTCGGCAAAGTCTGCATCTAATGCTGACTTACGGAAAAGGTTCACAAAGGGCTCAAAATGTCTGCGAGAGACTCAAACACTCGATGATTTGACAGTGGGACAAATCCTGTAAATCCATAAGGGTGGAGATTGGGTTTGGGCCCACATGTAAAAGAGACACAGACTGTCCAAATACCCCCACTACCAATGATCATGATTCAGCATGATTACAATCAAATATTCACATTAAGTGTGATTCCTATTAATTACACATCTGAGGGGTTTAGAATGTGTGTGTATCAGACTATCAGAGCTGTGAAATACAAGAGTTCTGAAGGAAAATGAAGAACGAGTCATTGAAATGACAAACTAACCCGACGCTTGTGTTCACCACAGACCTTATTTCAGGCATCTAACCAACAACACACACAAAACACCATTGACGTCCAGACGAGGGAACCGGAGTTGCAACAATGCTGAATCATTTCCAGGTTTTAGGAATCATTCCTGCACCACCACTATAGATCTACATACGGAGCATGTCCTCATCCCCGAGCCAGCCGCCATGTTTCTACAGTAGCCCAGAAGGGACAAACACTGGCCCCAGATAGGGGCTCATCGCGATCTCACACTTTTGCGTCGGCCACCGTAGTCCTCCTGCATGCTTGGCACACGGGAGAAGTTTGGGTTGGTTGCTGATCATCAACCTCACCGCCAGACGACGACAAACCCCACACACTGCACATTTTTATATTTCTACACATGCAGGACAGTGGAGATGATGAGCGTAGTGAGTCATTTCTATTCCTATGTCCCCGGAAGAGGATGAGGGATGTGAGGAGCCACGTCAGGCGAATGGAAAGCACTCCATGTGTGCATGAAGCTGTGATGCAGCTGGGACACACAAACAAAGTTCCTACAGTTTAGAATAACGTTTTGACACGTAAATCAAAGTTTAGGACCATTCTTAAGACGGTTTCTAAGACGTTTTATACCAGCTGTTCACAGATTACACAGATCAGTCTACCAACCCAAAGGAGTTCATGGATCACAAGACGCACTTCTCCTTCTGCCTCCCAGAGCACATTCAAAAATCTGGAGATAGAGAGCTCACTGTTCATCAGCAGCCAGCGAGCTGATCTGGATCAGGTTTTTACAGAAGTGTTTTTTTATTTGTGCCGGTCTGCACATTTGATCCTTTCCTATTATCACTCAATAACGCACTCTGACCTGCACTCGTGTTGAGGGTTGCTTTACAAATGAGCGTGGACGGTCAGACAGCTGGTAGAGAGCCGTTCTTCCAGCTGTCGCTGCAGCAGATGCTGTCGGAGAAATTGGAGTCTACTCAGTGTGTGTGTGTGTTTATTCAAATGTTAGGTCAGACTCTAGAGCAGCTGTGCGACACACACCCCACTGTGACATACACACACTCTCCATAGTTTAGATGAGTCACATTTCAACACTGTCACCGGAATCTCCCTTCCAGCAGCTGTGTGTGTGTGTGTGCGTGCGTGTGTGTTAAAATAAAGTGAAGAAGAAGAGTTCTCGAACACATTTAAATAACAAACTCAATCCCAGCGCGTTATCTATCGAAGCACCTCAATCCTACAACCATTAAACTGCTGCTGTTAACGAGCCGACTGTTAAATGTCGGAGCGTCTTTGAACGCACTAAATGTCTATTATGAGCGGCAACTTTACAAGTTGCTACACACCCACCAACTTGCTCCGGTTACCGTGGCAACAACTATAGAGCCAACATGGCTGCAGAAATCTGGGTCACAGCGACTACTGATCTCTGTCAGTAAAAACATCTGTTTCAATAGAGAGGGAGGTTGGCCGGTAATCACGACGCACACACACACACACACACACACTCTCACTCACTCACTCACTCACACATACCATCGACCCCGGCTCAGGTTTCCAGCAACAATAAGGACAGTTAACGATGCTCAAGGTTATCATAACTGGCTCAGTTTCTCTCTCTATTTGATATCAGCTTAACAACACAATGAAGTGCGTGTGTGTGTGTGTGTGTGCGTGCGTGCTTTTGGACCAAAATACCGTCACGAGAGCAAAAACTGAAAATACAGACCGTATGTTTGTCTCTGAGGTTATCGCAAAAGTTGGATAAAACTGGGTTTTCCACACTGGTTCTTCTGGTTCAGAACGGCTATAAACACGGTTGCCTGTTAGGCGTGGTGGGACAAAAAGTCAATAATATGAAGCCCTTCACTATCTGGGGAAAGGAGGCCAAAGAGTGGAGCAGAAGATTTCTCAACAACTGGCTGAGAAGTGAGGAATCAGCACACGGCCGAACCAAGCGGTAACCTCTGGTTCTGCCAAGTGAAGCCAATGCTAAAGAGTCTTAAAACTTGCATCCTCTCTACTGACCAGCAGGGGGCGACTCCTCTGGTTGCAAAAAGAAGTCAGATTGTATAGAAGTCTATGAGAAAATGACTACTTCTCACTTGATTTATTCCCTCAGTAAACATTGTAAACATGGGTTTATGGTCTTAATCTCTAGTTTCAAGTCTTCTTCAATACAGCATGATGTTCATTTAGTAAATTATGGTCCATTTAGAGTCAAATAGACCATAAAGCAGGGTATGCTTTAGTACTTCGCAGTCCAAATATGGTGACTTCCATTCACTGGTTGCAAAAAAACGGGATGGCGACGAGTAAAATGCCAAATTCGAGGCTTCAAAACGGCAGTCCAGAAACCAATGGGTGGAGTCACGTCCACGTCTTTTATACAAAATATGAGCCAAACAGTGTAGGAAACATTAAAAACAGGTGAAATATGATTATAGAATAGAGATCATAATGCGTGCAGTGGAGCCAACACCCACTTTGAGACACAAACAGTGTCGGCGGTCCCCAGAAAGCACTTTAAGACAAAAAGAATGTAAAAGAATTGAATAATATCAGCACCATTTCTTCCACTGTTGTCAGTCCCGGTTTACTTCCTTGTATGTTCTTAAATCCATCCAATAGTTGCGATGTTTAAATCTGGACCAGCCAGCAGACCGACATTGCCGTCTTTAAAGCCAGGCCACTAGCGTGGCAACAAAATTACATAGTTGCTTTTTTAATGACAAACTGTATATCTGCAACGTTTCAATTTGTAAAAAAAGCAGAAGGAGAAGCCTCACAGGGTTCAGAAAAGTTCAGGTCAGGAAAACCAAATGTGACAGGCTGTTAAGTTCCCACAGAGGGAAAGGCAACCAACACAACAACTTCAGGTTGACCAGGGAAGATTCTCTGGACTGTGCCTGAGCTCAATAACAGCTTTCACACTTCGACATACAGAAATCTCATGGAAAAATAGCCTCCGATTGAGAAAACCTTTCGTGATCGTTTGAAGTGAAAATTATGTTTGACAGAAAACCACAAAGACCTCAAAATCATTCCAGTGACCTCTCGGCGCCAGAGAGGGAGCGAATAAAACTCCGAACGGCAGCTGAGAGACTCACCTCGAAGCCCAGGCGGTCTTTCTCCTTCCAGAAGCAGAAGTGCGTGACCTTCTTGTCCCAGAATTCATCCGGCTTCACCACGCAGACCAGCGACACCTCGGCTGGAATCACATTCTGAAACGGCACCGGCAGCATCATCGTACTCGGCTTTGTCACAACACGAAAGTCATAAAGTCATTCATGTCATCACTGGGATCCATATCACGTGTTCGTACCTGCAGCATGAGCACCACAGTCTTCACGATGTTCCACTGAGACTTCCGTCCGTCCACGATAACGGTGAAACCCCGAGCCTTACACTTCTGACTGAGAGAGAGAGACATGTTATAAGCATTTTATAAGACAAGTATATTACTCAAACTATGAACAACACTCACTGACAGGGTTTCCTGCTCATCCAGCATTTGGACTGCACATCCAAACTGACTGTATGTGAATTAAGATTAAGTGTGAAGGCTACTTCAGGAGCGTCAGAGTGGTGCATTCATGTCCACTTACTTTGATCTGAGGAATGAGTTCCCAAATCAGAAGTTAGCTCGCGAATGCAATGCCGTTTTATTGCTGGCTCTTCCGAATACTAGCAGACTACAAACCACACCAACAAGGCTCATTCAAGTTCATTACAACTTTGGTGTTATATTTGTACATTGGGAAATAATTTCAGTTACGATAACATTGGACTCAAGCAGCTGCTGTGTTCTCGAGTCATCACCGATACGAACCGCATCCAGAAGTAGAAAAATAAGACTTGAAAATATGGTGTTGGCCCGAATAAAAGACGTTTATTCTGGAAATTATTATTAGAGTGTAACACCAGCTCCTACAGAGAGTGTTGCCTTATGAGTCGATTGTAGCCTTGATGCTCATTGTTTTCATGAAGCACAGTTTGACCTACAGGAATTTCAAACAGCGTGTGTTATGTGTTGTGGAGGAAATAAATTCCTGACAAGTGCTAACGAGTTGAAAGCATCGGACGACATCTTTACTGCAGAAATAAAACGGGGAATAAATCACTTGTCAAGCTGCCATGGGAATTCTCATCGCAGGGAAACTTTTCCGACCAGACCGATCGGAGAGAGTTTTTATATCTTCACAAACAGCTGTTGGAAGAGGGAGGGCTTATCTAATAATCAGGGTCGTCTGATGTTCGGGCCAAGGCGAGGTGTAATAAACTGGAATCATCCTTTAAGCCCTTTAAAGTACAGCTGGACATGCTGGATTCAGACGCTGCCTGGAGACAAGATACAAAGGTACAAAGACCCAGCAGCTCCTCAGCGACGAGTTGACTCCCAACATACCTAGGGATGCTGAGCAGGTAGTCCAGTGTGGCGCTGAGCTCCTCCATGCTGGTCTGATCTGAACTGAGAGGGATGGTCAGGATCAGACCACTGCGCCGGTCTTTGCCCCCTGAAGAGAGACAGATGAGTAGATTACTGCAAGTACACTGAGATTATAGAGTCCTCACATGTAGACATGATATATCATGGTTTGTGTGTTTGTGTGTGTGTTACCTGACAGAAAGGCCAGTTTCTTCTTAAGGATGGGGAGCATGTTGGTCGCTTCCACGGTAACGTTGGACATCTGTAGACAGATGCAAACACAACAATTAAAAGGAGGAAGGTTCAAATTGTATTCATTTAAAGTCTACCTTAATATGACATTCACAATACCTACACTGAAACTGTTTTTGGTTGCTGCAATATTTCCTCCTGTAAAACACCTGTCTGCAAGTCCAGTCACTAGTCCACAATCTCAGTCACTAGGCCACAATCTCAGTCACTAGTCCACAATCTCAGTCACTAGGCCACAATCTCAGTCACTAGTCCACAATCTCAGTCACTAGTCCACAATCTCAGTCACTAGTCCACAATCTCAGTCACTAGTCCACAATCTTAGTCACTAGTCCACAATCTTAGTCACTAGTCCACACTCTTAGTCAGCAGCTCACAGCTGTGTATGCTACCTGTCTCTCACTGATCAGATGACTACTACTGGGTCACCAGTAAACACGGTAGCGGCATAGACACGCTACAAACCTCAGCTGAAGTAGTGTATGAATATATTGGAATCAGCTCAGGGATTTTCTCTTTGCTGGCATTTCTCCCAACAGATTCAGACTCTTGGCTTCACATTCAGCAAGCCTGTGATTGTTTTTGTCTGTTTCATCAGTCCATTTAAAGAAGGGACGCACCAATCTGACTGACTCAGTCCAGATACCGATTCATGAGCTTTGAGTATCATCCGATATCGAGAACCAATCTGATACCGGTGTCTAACAAGCTGTGCGTTTCACTGTGTGGAAGTGACCGGAATCATTGTTGTATGAGTAAGGGTCGATGTCAGGCTCGACTTCAATTTTGCTTTCATAACATTGCAAAACAAAACTTTAAAAAATGAATACATATATATAAATAAACTGAATTGTTGTCAACACAGAAGTTGGTTTGACATCTGTATCAGTTTCAACTCTCTCTCTGCAATTTGCTGGTTTAAATTTCCATTGTTTCATCATGTAACGATAGATACTGGTTTATATACTAGTTTCTTATTTAACACTCCGAGTCAGATGTTGGTAGGTGGATTTTGTTACTTTAGGAAAGAGCCATGCTAGCTGTTCCCACCCGTTTCCAGTCTTTATGCTAAGCTAACCGTCTCCAGATTCACATTTGACGACAGACATGAGAGTGTAGTCAAACTTATCATCGAACTCTAGGCAAGAAAATGAATAACCATATTTCTAAAAATGTTTTACTATTCCTTGTGAAATCTTTCAGGTTGACTGTGCATTCGTTGTTTGTATTGTCTTTTGTGATAAATAATTATTATTAATCTTTCTGCTCAGTTCATTCACAGGTTATAATTTGGGACACAGTAGCCGGTGAACCACCCTTTGATATTGTACATGCATTGAACCATCATTTGCACTTTAAACCTCCTTTTAAAAACATTGTTTCTACTTCTACTGTGTTTCGTATAGTGTGTGCTTATATAAATAGTATAATTATACTATGTTATACCATATCTATGTTAGTATTGAGCATTTCAAACTAACTTTTTCTCACTCCCATCCTGGCACACCTTTGGGTGAGATTCAAATACTGGACTTAATATAATTTGCCACAAACATTGACTTATCTCTTTATCTAAGCATTATTTGGGACCAATGTTATGTCCCTGTCCCTCATGTTTGCATCGTTTATTTTTCTGATCATTCTTTGATGCTATAATGATATTACAGTTGACTTATTAATAAATGAAACAAAACGTTTTTTTCCCCCCAAAGCTCAACTCTAATTGTTGCTGTTTACTTACAACCAAGACACTTACTCCTCAGGGCTTTACTATGTTGAGCTTTTTGTGTTTACTTTTATACTGTTACTAAACATTTGTATTGTTTGTTTCCATTATTTGATACGAGTGTTATTATGATCACCATTAGTCGTATTATTAGTGGTAATAAATGAGTGTGGTTACTGCAGCACCAGTCAGTCTTGCTGCAGGGCTTCATCTTCATCTTCATCTTCATCTTCATCCTCCTCCTTCTTCTCCTCCTCTTTCTCCTCAGCCAGTCTGCCTGCCTGCGGCCTGGCTGCAGCGGCAGGACGGCCCGGCACGGCTCGGTTTGCCTCGGCTTGGTTCGGCTCGGCCCACAGAAACAATGACCTACATTCAGCGGCTGCAGACTGCGGCTGCTGCGGCTCTGACCTCCCTCGCCTCAGCCTCGACCCACACGCAGTATCGACAACTTCGGGATCGATCAACAATATGTATCGATCGGGCGGCTTTTCTTACCTTTTAGTCAAATTTGCAGCATTATCCTGTCCCGGTTTTTCTCTCCCTGTCCTTCTCCCTTACTCCTCCCGTGTCTTTCCTTTTCCTTCTCCTCTTCCTCTCCTCCTCCTCCTCCTCCTCCTCCTCCTCTTTCTCCTCTCGGGCTGATTTGTCAGCGGATAGTCAATCTGCTTTCCATCAGACGCAGAAGATCCCAGTTTGCTTTCCGCTAGCTTTGAACAACAGTGGAAACACACAGGGAGCAGGCGGTGGAGCTCGCGACTCTGCGCAGCCTCAGTGAAGCCCAATAAAAAAATACGACTTCCGGTAAAGTGACTTTCCAAATAAAAGCCTGGAGGAGCCGCAGGTTCCGCACGTTTTCAATAGAGAAGCTGGACGACTGAATATCATGCATAATATATCTAATGGGAATTTTCAATTACATGTCTTATCCATATTTATATTTGTTAACAATTTGTTCGATTTTTCCCCCCCAATATGTTTTCTTCATGTACATATTTATTTATTATTTATTTCAATCCATAATGTTTGGTAAACCATTTTTAAAACAGTAACATTTTAAGTGAACTTGCATGCATTAAGATGTTTTATGTTTGAGCTTGTGGACCGATAAAATGTATTTTATTGTGGCTTTGCTTTTATTGTGCCAGACTGATTTATCTGTGTTATATGCTTGTTTTTGCGTGTCAATTAGTGTCTATGCAGTACAATGTCATCTCATTTAGTCTGTATTTCGATTGACATTAATATCTCCCATTATATTGCTTTGTATGTCTCGCATGTGTCTTTTAACTAAATTTAATTTTCTCTTTTATTTTTTACCTCAGAATATACCATAGTATATTCCTTTTTGAACATTTGTAAGCATGCAGAATAAGGAAAAGAGAACATCAATATCAGAAAAAAACCAATATGAAGGATTTACATTGTCAGGTACTATTTTATCCATTTATTATACAGACTCTATAGAGACTATAGCAGTGGTGGGCCGTCAGGGCCTAAGCCTTCTCTGCTGGCCCAAACAGAATCACAAAGTTATAGCTATTTTATAATTGAATGTAGTATAATTATTTTTCCCATTAGCTTATTTTCTCATTGCACAGCTCCTGTCTTTCTCTGTTGCTCTGCTTCCAGCCTGCAGTGCTGCTTCCAGTGCAGCTTGTTTTAAAGAGAGCTTTTATCCAATCAGATTCAGCCCCTATGTCTCTAGAGAGGCCCGATGCCCGCTAGAGAGCCTTTGCAGTTTAAGTAAATGGGGACGTTATTGTTGATTGTCATAGTCTTCAACCAATCAGATCTTTAGTTTGGCATGTTGGGCGTATTCTTTGACGTGCCAGTGGCACCGAGGTAGCCTGCTAAGTACGTCAGGATTAACGTGCGCCTTGATTGGTGTTAAGGATTTCAGTATTAAAAGCATTATTAGCAGGATTAAATAACACCCCAAGTGGTGAGTAGAAGTGTCACAATAATAATAATGTCAAAATAGGTTAAAAAGTCACAATATATTTACTTATGGAATGTATTATGTTTACAATATTCTTACTTGTAGAGGATATTATGTTACAGTATTTTACTCATTGAATGTATTAAACCATAGAAGTATAGTCACTAAAGGTATTAAAACACTCTATCAATAGTTTTGAGGGTCAGAAAGAGATCATTTTGAGTGAGTCTTTACAGAGGTGCAGCAGAGAACAGAGGGATGGACAACTGACCACCAGGACCTGAGGAGGAGTCCGGACGACTTCAACCAAACACTGAGATGATAACTGCCCCAAGCCAGGAGGGGCTATTGAATTTCGGCCAATCACATGGACATTTAAACTTTCGGACAGAGACTTTTAAATATAGGCTTAGTTCCAGAGGGTTTTTGCCAGAGTTCGCGCCATTACCACTCTGGGTAGTTTACCAGCTGGGCTGGGCTATTTAGTGGGCCTTGTGAGAACTCTGCCCTGGGGACATATTGATATCGATAGAGTAATTCAGTTTGCAACTGTTCTAGCTTCTCTTGTTTATTAAATACTTTTTGATTCTTAACCGGATCCAGTTCATTTTTGGTGCGACTGGAAAGTCCAGTGGTCTGGGTCTCCCCTGAAAACATCTAACCCTAACATTGGTCAGTGACTAATGTGAAATTTAAGGAAGCTGGCAGAAGTTAGTTGGAGTAGTAAGAGTTCAAATTGAAAGATATGGAAGAAATTATAACATTTTTAGGTTTTTGCTTAGTGTACTTTATTTATTTGTATGAACGGTGTTCCTGTTGACAGCATCGCACATTTTATGGCTGGGAATGTGTTTCATTTTAACTGAGCATCTTGGTGTTTGGAGCTATGCTAAGCTAACCTGAGGACGCCAAGTCACGGACTTAGGTAAAGTTAGAAAGATATTGACAGATTCGGACTTCCCGGTTCAATAAATCGTTAACGAAACGTTGCTAAAATACAAACGATACCTCCCTGTAACCGTAGTGAGGTAGACAACAAGCTACAACCTTAATTTAATTAAAACGAACCGTCTTACGGACTCCTCCGAGCTGGACAATCGGCATTGGTCTCAATGAGCGGCAGGCTGCGAGACGAGTGCGCAGGGACCGTCTACAAAGTGCAATGCGGAAAATACCTACAACAACAATATTCAATAGCTTCGCTGTCATGAAATGTAATGTAACCAAAAACACTTCACACATCAATGGGCTCCTCTTTGTTGTACTACAAGTGTTATTTTGAAAAAATATGATTTTGATTAATTTTAGTGAATTTTTATTGAAAATAATATTCAATAACTTTACTGTGGAGTGTGACCAAAATCACTTTTGACAGGTGCTGTCAAATTCTCTTTCTGGTGACGATTCCAAGTGACATTAAAGTATCAGTGATTTGGTCAAACCAGTGTCCATTAGAGAACTACAAACATACAGTTAATTTAAACCTCAATTAAATAAATGGTTAGTTAGTACCCAACTCTGTCAGCACCAGAATGTAACTGCTTCTCTGTCTGTGTTGAACTTTCCCTCGATCTGTCTGTTGTCACCTGTCTGTCTGTCTTGAAATTGCCGGTCGATCCTCATCTACCTGCATGCTTGTCTGTCTTTTATTGTTGTTTAGCTGTGTCTGACTGATTTATGTATTTCACATACTCTGCATGCTTTTATGTTTTGTGCCTCTGACATGGATGTTTTTTAGTGTCTAAAAACTGCAGCATAATATTCTCTTTAGTGCATGCTTCTATTTAACATACAGGTGCATCTCAATGAATTAGAACATCATCGAAAAGTTAATTTATTTCAGTAATTCAATTCAAAAAGTGAAACCCATGTATTATAAAGATTCATTACACACAGGGTGATATATTTCAAGCCCTGCACGGTGACATGTCGCTGTGTTGGGCTGCGGTTTCAGTAGTATCAAAAGGGGATGGCCAGTCTTCAAATCATGTGCCAACATGCGTTAGCGGTACTTCAGGTGTCCGATGTAGGATGATGGGGTAATATACTCTCACCAAACTCCT